CCTCTCTAAAGCTGCTAAAACACCGTGAATATAGCTGCGTCACTTGAGATAACACTGTGTAACCGCGGTGGCAGAGAGCAAAGATCCCAGTGATGGCGAAGGGCCACGGCTGGTGGGTGCGCTCCTCCCCGAGACAGAGCTCGCTCTGCCCCCCGGCGCCTGGGTGCAGGGTGGCACTGCGGGTGACCGGGGGCTGCCCAGCAGCGGGGACTGGGACATGCCCCTAAGCACGTGTTAAATGCCACTCAAGTCTAATATGGTCAGTGCCCAGAACGTGAAAGGGAACGGCCCCAAAGTGATAAAATAAAGGGCTTAATTCATGATTACTCAGTCGCCACTGGGAGAGTAGAAAGGTATTGAACACCAGCTGCATTCTTCCATTCACCAGAATAATAGCAAGGAAAGGCAGTGAGCAGCAGTACAACATCTAATTTACGGTTAAATTATAGCTTAAACAAGAATCTCCTCCCTCTCCCCCCAAGTTCACTGCTGACCACCTTCTGCCTGCCCTGCCCATGGTGGCTGGCGAGCAATTGTCTGTTGCCGCCTCTCCGCTGCGAAACCAGATTGGGTTATGCAGCCCCCTTCCTTCCGCTGCCCGGGGCTCTTCTCAGAAGAAATTGTTGAATAACCTTTGCAACAGGCAGCAGTGTAAACGTGTTAACTTAAGCAGGTCATGAAAGAGCTGCAGCAACGTGGAGGAGCTGCGTGACCCACATGGGGTGTGCGTGACGGTGTCCTGCCCTTCTGAAATGTGACATCTCTGTGGTGGAGACATGATGCAGAGTCTCCCTGCTGGGGCACTGAGAAAAGCTGGTCCTTCAGTGCCTGGTCGGTGCAATGTGACTTTTGGTGGAAACGTGATGTTTCTGAAGCCTATTTTTATACAGCAACATAAGGCAAGGGTTAAGCAAGTGACCGCAGGCCACTTGCCCACCAAGGGCAAGAGACCTACAGACTAGCTCTTGCAGTTTTGAGGCTGACAAAAGTCAGGCTTTAAGTATCTCTGCCAAATTTTTACCGAACCAAAGCAGGGAGCCTGGCTTGAAAGCCAGGTGCCAGAAAGGCAGAAGTATGAAGTGTTCATCTTGGCAAAAAAATGCTAGCAGGCAGAAGTGAAATGGGAGTTTTGAAGTTAGTAAAGCTGCCGGCAGACTGCTGCCGGGGTTTCGGAGAGACGAGGTTGCAGATGCTGCAGCCTTTTAGCACCTTTGAGGATGAGGAGTGCATGGTGTCAGACACCGTCCCCGGCTGGTGCATGCAGTGCCCACACATGGGACAGCTCATCCCGTTGGAGTGACTTGGTGATGTTTCTGAGCCTTCATTCAGAAACTGAGACATAGGAATGCTTCTATCTTAAGCTAATGATAACAAGCCACCCTGATTTTCACTTCCCCAGAAGTGCCTTCTTTTTCTGTCTTTGATGAAAGCGCCTTTGAAGTATGTCACAGTTTCTTGGTGACAGCTTTCACACTTTCCCCCCACACCTGACATTCAGCTGAACTCTCATTTTTCGGTCAGCTGCCCTGGTTCAGTACTTGGCAGCAGGGTTTATTTAAAAATGTGACAGCAACAGCAAATGGAAAGCCCCAAGCAAGAAAACTGATGTGAGACTTTACTGGACCTCTGTGAGCAGCACCATGGAAGTTAGAGGGAGGTTTGGCTGTGTTCCTACACTCTGTGTGTGTGTCCCACCCGTGCAGCCACCTCCAGTGCGCTGCAGCCGCTCCACTCATGCTTTCAAATGATCTGTTTTTATAACAAGTCCATTCAGTGCTTGTGAAGGGTGTCAAACTGATTGTGCCCAGCTCTGTCATCAGTTCATAGGATTAGAGTTATATGCCAATGTAGGAGATGCCAGTGCAAGATGGTTGTGCCTACCTGTGTCCTGCAGCTGCCGGGAGGGCAGTGTGGCCTGATGAGGGCAGGATGCGGTCATGCATGGTGGGAGATACCTGCCTCGGCCAGCCTGCGAGGTGTAGGTTCCAGCCCTCCTATGCTACGAAGGTTAAGTTGCACATATTCGAAAGCCCGGTGGACGTGATGAAAGAGCTAGGTTTTTGCAGCAAGATCAAAGTGAGCCAGGCAAGGCCTGCTCCACCTGCATAGTTATGGTCTGTCCACGTGTGGGGTGGGGGCTGTCTGCCTTTGAGGCAGTGGTGGAAGAACTGGTATCTTGTTGGCAAGTGCTCGGATCCCCCTCGTCTCCCAGAGGTTGCTGAGCCCACCAGAAATGTCCACCACAGTAGATTGCTTCTGCTTCCTCCCTGCTTAATTCATCCCTTAGCTTTTCTCTGTATGGTGTGGGAGAGCTTGGCCAGATGGGTTATGAATTTAGAGGACACTCCTTCTACTAAATCAGCCCAAAAGCTCCAGGTGGACAAAGCAAAAAAAGTGAGTAAACAGAACAGCATAATCCAGTTTTCTAGCTGGGGAGCCTGTGGGGTTTTCTTGGTCCTTGTGCCACCTATTTTAACCCCAGCACATCTGAATCCCTGACTGCCCTGTACTTGGATAGACCCTGCTCAAATGGTGAAGAACAGAGGTTTGGTCCTGTGTTAAAGGGATGATGTTTATCACACTATGTTTATCACACCTCTTTTCTGGGGGTGAAACGTGCTCTCCTGCCTCTTTGCCCTCATTACCCAGCTGCTCCCAGGCAGGCACTGGGAGCAGTGGGGGTCCTGCTCAGAGCTGCTGCGCAGGCTGGCTGTGGCAGCGAGTACCATCCCTGCACTCCCTGCCCAGCACCATCCTGCACTGGCACAACCCGACTGTCCCCTCCACGGCTCCCTCCCTCTTCAGACCTCAGTAAACACCTGAGGACTCTCTGCTGTACAGAGGCTTTGGTTTGAGGATTTTTGTTGAGGAAGTTTGACCATCTTTGGTCAAGCGTTCACGGTATGTATTTCTGGGTGAATGGCTGCTAGAGGAAGGGGTGTTACTCGGAGCGAGATGGCTTAGCAGAATCAGCTCAGAAATGCTTTCTTTGTAGGCAGCTTTGTATCTCCTCCACCCATTTAATTAGCAGTTGCTGGAGAAGTTGGGGTTTTTTTTTTTCCTGTGCATCTTTGTTTGTGCAGAGCTTTCACCTCTGAAGAGTTTGCACCCATTGCCGGTGAGACTGGAGGTGTAGGAAAAGCACGCTGGCAATCAATCTCTCAAATCACTGTGCTCTCCGCACACGAATCCCATAGCAGGGAGGAAATCTTAAAGTCTTTGGTGGACTGGGGAACAGTCCACCAAATTAAAGTCACAGAAGGTGCACGTGTTACTACAGCAATGCAGGAGACCCATCAGCACACAGGGCTGAGGAAGGCAAAGTGTGAGCCCCGCTGAGCAGTGCGAAATCACTGCCAGGGCTGCGCCGCACCTTGGACTGAGCCAGGAGGAGATACCTATCTCTGCATGCCCTGAGCCGTTCGTTGCTGCTTTGATCTTTTAAAAGAAAATGTAGTGATAGAAAAGGGGAGAAACCAGCCTCCTTAAAAGGTCTTTTTTGCAGCCAGAGCCTCTACTACTCCTCCTCCCCATTGTGCAGTGAATGAGGGCAAGATCCTGCTTTCAGATTTTGGTGATGACAGAGCAGATACACCCACTTCTACCTGAATCTCTGGCAAGCGTGGTGAGAAGCCTACATCCCCTCGGGAAGCTGTCGGGGCTTTGCTACTGTCCTGTGCAGGCGGTGTGGGCTTTGCTGGGCAGCAGCACAGCCACTGCCCAGGTGGGTGGAGGGCTCTGCTCAATGATTGCCTGCAGCAGAGTCTCAGCTTGAGGGGTTTCCTCCCTTTTGGCATGTACCTTGAGTAGGAGGAGGTGCTGGGCGTGGGGGCTGCAAGGCTGCTTAGGTGGCAGCAGGGTTTGGCCCGGCACATGCAGGCAGATGGAAGCCCAGCCTGGCGTTGGGAGGCATGAGTGGAGGAGTGTGCCTGGTATGTCCCACCTGGGGCCATGTGGCCCGTGGCCAGTTAGCAGTTTTACTCGCTTGGCTGTTTGTGGGTAAGTGCATTGCAGGGTGGCATGCACTGATCTGCCTTTGAAAATCCCAGTCTCCGTTGCAGCTCATGCACCCTGCCCCTCGCTTGGACAGTGGGGAGTTGTGCTGTCCCTCCTGGGGACAGACAGCAGAGCAAGTCCCGTACCACCCAATCTCCCACCTTTTCCAGTTCGCTTACTAAGAGACTGAGCTCTGTGCCAGTAATACAACTTTATTTATGTTGGTTTCTTTGGAACAGCTTGCTGCCACTTTTTTTAGACAGTCCTTTACATTATAATGCTCAATAGACCGCTAGTACAGAGTCCCTATTCCCACCGCCCCATCCCAACTCTTTGGATAGTAGTTTTAATGCCATTTGACTCAAACAATTTGATGTAAAGTTTTTCCCCAGTACAAGCAATTGCAGTTTCTTCTGACCTTGTATTGCAATAGATGACCATTTTGTAGCCGTTATGTAGTATGAATGAGGCTGTAAAGTTGCCTAAAGCAGGCTAAATCTGCCTCTGCTAGTGTGATTGTGCATTATTACCAACTAAAAACCAAGATGTTTGTGACTTACAAAAACATCCTCCTTTCTTTTTCTGCAGTGGTTTCACTTTGACTTTTTTTTCTTTTTTGATATTTGGAATAACCTCTGTTTCTTTGTTGCAACTACAGCTGCATAAAAACTGATCCAAGGTGGGGGTGAGGAACAAAAAAATCCCCTTTACCACTGGCTGTACTTGTTTTGGGTTTTCTGGGAAAATGAAAGACAGCTTTTGCAGATGAAAGCTATCATTTTACTCAAATTTGCATAAGGCAGAGAATTATCAGTGGCAACCTAGATCATTACATCAGGATCTGGTTGTCTGAATCAGGGCTACTTTTCATGTGTCTGAATCCTTCCCATTAGCAGAAAGTCCCTCCATCCCACTCACACAAAAAGAAAGTGTGAAAGCCTGCTATTGAGTCCCAGTTGAACTTGAACATAGCGCATATAAAATGTGTGCCGCATGTGTTTGCACTAACGTGTAATGCATGGGAGCTGAATTTCAGCTTCTTCACTGGCTTCGGATTTGGACTTCGTTAGCTTGGAAGATGCTTCCTTAAATTCCTTGTTGACAAAGTAGTAACAAATAGCATCCAGGCAGCAGTTCGTGTTTGCGAGGACTGAGGCGAGGTGAACAAAATTATTAACCCTCTGTATTGCAGAGCAGTTGGAACTGATGGAACTTTCCATTATAAAGCGAAGGAGATGCCCAAGGTAAAGCGGTAAAAAGCATACGATGAACACAGCCATGTTTGCAGACACAATGTAGACGGCCTTCCTGATTAACTTCTCCTTGTGACAGTTTTCATTCTTCTTTCTCATGAGTTCTGCAATGACTTGTATGGAGCAATAACTCAAGATGGTCAATGGTATAAAAAACCCTACAATAATAGCACACAGTGTGATCACTGAGGGCTTAACAGAAGATTTTTCAAAGCAAAGTTCATCTTGTCCTCGGTCCTCTAACTTTTTAATGAGGGTCATTACACAGATGATGACTATCCAAAGAAATCCAGAGGCAAAAGCTGCCTTCAGTGGTGACCTCAGCACCTTGGCTTTCAATGGGTACTTGATTGCAAGGTACCTATCAGCTGCTGTGACAGTGATGATACCGATGCTCATTAAGCGGTTTATGAAATAGCCACTTTCCAGAACCAGGCACCATCTACCTACCTTCAGCTGATGCAACTGGGATAGAGTTTTAAAAGGCAAAGTAACGAGCAGCAAGCAGTCAGCCACAGCCAAGTTGACCATGTATACTCTGGTTTCTGTCCATTTGCCGAGTTTGCAGCAGAACATCCACAGCGCCAACACGTTCAGCAAAATGCCCAAAAGCAAAACTGGGATGTAAACACACAGCTGGACAAGGGGAAAGCTTTCATAGGCTGTGATATTGCAGCTGCTGAGGTTCATTTTGGGGGTATTAAGAGGCACAGTTCCTGCAAAAGCAGATTAAACCTTTTAGAAGCTAGATTCTTGACTGAATTGGTGATTAATTCAGATAGTTCAGGGATTTACCAACAGTAGTAAAGATGACTCCGCAGAGCAGAGCTGGCTGTAGGGTACCTAGCGGGAAGGGGAGGGAGCGGGACATGAGCCTGATCAGTTGTAGAGGAAAGAAAAGTGCAGGTTCTCACTGGGTCCTACGCGGGGAAGACTGCTTACGGAGAGCACCAGAGGAAAATGCCTCTGTTTTGGGACAGGCTCAGATCAGGCAGCATCAGGTATCCTGCAGCTAGGAGTTATGTGAACTGTTACAACCACTTGATAATGGAAAAGGGGATGCCTAAACACAGGTCTCATCCCTTCCTTTATAGTGGTTCTCAGGAGAAGCCAGCCAGCATACTTGCAGCTCAAAATGCTCTGGGAGATGTGCAGCAAAAGGACAGCTGTCCTCTCTTTCAGTCGCGAGCTATCTCTGCATCACTTCTCATTAGTGATAAGAGCAATTATTAGAACATCTCTCATTAGTTTTAGCTGCCGTCGAATCCTGTACTCAGTGGTAGCATTTAGTGGTCTGCAGCAAGAATCAGAGTACTGGGGTCTGCATGCTGCCTTCCAAGGATCGTGCGAGTTGGTCTTCATCTCAGAAGTATTAGAGCAATCTGTCGCAATTCCAAGATTAAAAAAACCCCACCAATGCCATGGCAAGAAATGTGATCAGCAGCTATGAGAAACAGAGAGATGAGCTGTATCTGGTCCAGTGGGTGATTTTATCACCCTGGATCTAAGGACAATATTACTGTATGCCCTCCTGCTTTGGAGGAGTTAATGCAGGAATATACCCCAGATGCAACTGTTTATGGACAGAAAAGACCTGGGATGCCTGAAATGTCTTTGGGTTTTCCCTGCAAGGGGAGCATAGCTCCATGGGTGCAGATTCCTTGGGCTCTAAAGCAACCCGAGTGAGCAAACCATAGGGCAGTGCTGCAGCTTCTACATGTATCTGCAGCTCTCGGCTACCTTTGAAAATCATGTTGCTGAGCAATCATGTCCAGGAGACCTCTTCAGAGGTGAGGGAATGTGCTACAGCCAATACCTGAAGCAGCTCGGTGCTTTGGACATGAGGAATGAGTTATGAGCCCAGAAGGTACAAGGGTAGATCATAACAGACAACAGGGAGATCTAGCAAAGTCTGAGACAGCCCTTAAGCATCCAAAACATGTCTACTATGGCCAGTATCAAAATAAGCCTTTAAAAATACACAGTCTCCAGCCTTCTCTCAGTTTCTTTGCCACCATTTCGGTGTCCCACCATGGCTGGGGAAAGGCAGTGCCTTGCAGAGCTCAAATAACCAGGTCAGCAAATAGCCAGGAGGAATTACCTGCTCACTTGTGGTCCTTGGAGAGAGTGAATGTTCCAGCAGACCAGCTGCGGTGCGGCGTGCAGGCACGATGAGCCCTCGCAGTGGTGCTCCCGGCATGTGACCAGCAAGGTTTCCTGTGATGACCATTTGCCGGTGGCTGTGACAGCAGCAATGCTGGTGGAGGAAGCACCCCCGCCCCTCCTCAATGCGTCTCCCCGGGGTTGAGCTTCCTCTGTCGCCACTGGCGTGGCTCATACTACCCTCTGTTGACTGAGGAGCCCGCAATAGCCCTGCAGAGAGGTGAAATGCTCGTCTGCCTTGTGGCCCTGCAGCAGTTCGTCCAGCGATGGAGTGGCTTCGGGTTTTTCCTTCGGTTTACTTTCCAGTGCCTGATGTCTCACTGGGCAATGCCCATTGACCCTTCTCGCCCAACAGGCTGTGCACATTGCTTGGAGGGTCCTGAGGTCTTCTCTCTGCCTTCTAGATTGCTGGGGCTGGAGCGAGGACTGCTGAGCCCCAGGACGGAGCAGCCTCAGTGGGCCCCCAGTCCCATTCACAGAGCTGTTGGAGAGGTGAGGGCTGTGGTTTGCAGACAGTTTTGTGATTATTATAACTGGCTTTCACTCTGAATCATGGTAATTCTCTCCTCTTCAATAGTTCTCATCAGCCAGCAATTCTGAGAAAATGTGACACTATGACCTTATGACCTGCTGACTTTGTGACTGCTCTGCAGTTTCAGGCACCTGCTGGCCAGGGGTTCCTCCTTGGCTGTCCATTGTGACCCATTTACAAGAAGAGCTGACATAAGTTGATCAACAAGCTCAAAGGTCCTGCTGTTAGCACCTTCAATTGCTGTCTTGGGCAAACACATTTCCCCTTCCCACTTTCCAGGTCATCTTGGAGCAGCTTCAGGAGTATATCTGCATTGTTGGTCTGCGCGTTACAAACCGGCCTTTCAGATTAATTCCTTGCCTTTGTATAGCAGTATAGAGCTTAGCTTAAATCCTTCTGTGTTTCCAGGGACTGCTTTTGCCTTTCTTGTGGGCAGCCACATCTTGGTATATGCTTATAAGTAGTTACTGATGTATTAGTACACCCAGCTCGTTGATCCCTAACCACCATCATTTTCACATCATGCTCCTTGTTAGTACTTTAGTCTTCAAAGTCACCCAGCTCCTGGGTTGTGATAGTTTCACCACTGTACAGAAAGCACTTCACTTTACATCATCCTCAAGTGTTGTCCACTGACTCCTATTGTCTCTGTGAAGGCAATCACTACTGGTATTAACCATGAGCAGTCAAAATCAAGCCTGGAGGGACCACAGCTCATAGCATCTCTCCAGTGTGATGCTTCTCATCTGCAGCTTGGTGCTGTGGTCACCAGACAAGGGCAGCTATGTCTTCCATCAGCTGGGTGAGGCTTCAAGGGAGGGACAAACCACATCACCAGGCACAAAGCAGCTGGCTGTGATCAAACCACATCACCAGGCACAAAGCAGCTGGCTGTGATCAGCAGGTTCACCAGGATATGTCAGAGCAACTCAACGCCAGCTACCCGTAGGCAAAGCTACAATGAAGTGTTATCTGCAGAGAACTTACATGTCTCCTCATGTGTCTATCAGGTCACTGTCTGATTCCTGACCCTCTCTGTACTCCCACAGCATCAACGCTGAAGGGATTGGCCATGTATCTCTGTGCAAACGTACCAGGGAGGGCATGGCAAAGCCTGTGCTTCCCAGCTGCCTGCTGCTGCTTTGGTGCTTGCAGAGTCCCCTGGAGACTGTCGGGCAAGGCTCACCATTGGAACAACTGCGCTGCACTGAGAAACCGAAAATGCAGAGATACCTCCAAAACCTGAAAGCAGCACCCAACTCGCTATAAATGCAGAACTCCCTGATATGTGTCCTTCAGCCCCCAGGAGAGGGGTGCTGCTGGAGCCCAAACTTCTGGTGAGAACTCAAATTTCAGGCCTGCCCAAATGCCACCAAACAGCAAAATACTCTCTTATGCCAGCTCCTGCCTTCCCTGCTTAGAAGGGCCAAAAATGCTAAATCTGGTGGCTACTCACTGAGAAGCAAGATTCTGGATTACTTTGTAGGCTTTTCCTTGTGGGCTTTTGTTTTGTTGTTTTTTTTTTTTTTTCCTTCTCTCAAGCCTAAGTTTTGCAGCATCAATTTGCTCAGTTAAAGTTTAAGCCTTTGCTAGCATCTTTTAAGGGACAGAGATTATATCTTGCTGAACTGTTGGCAGAGTGCAGTGGTCCAACCCTGCTTCTTGGAGCTGCTGATGGACTGTGGCTGCTGCTCCCCACCATTGTTAGCCAGACTCTTGTGCTAGGAAATGGGAAAGGTTTGTGGATAACCATGTCTCTGTCCTCATGGATTGCTACTCCAGTGCTGTGTGATGGCTGCAGTTCGTTGTGGCCCAGGTGGCACAACTCATCTGTTCCATTTACTGGGAGCACTTGGGGAGCTGAGGTTTTATTCAGACTGAAAAAAAGTGTCAGAAACCCATCATAAACATCATTATAACTTGACACACAAACCAGATAATAATTTTTGTCCAAGGTAATACATACATCTTCAGGTAATCAGAAAGTTCCTTGCTCATCTTTGGGTTGCACTATAAATACCCTGTTGTAAGGCAGATCTTATGTCATGGTAGCTAAGTCTCCTCTCACAATCTCCAGTATAGGTTTAGCATTATTAATAGAGAACTCTGGTGTAAAATGGTAATAAATGAATATTTATTTGTAGATATATTACTATGAGAGAGCTTTTTTCCCACTTGCAAAATAATGTTTTCTTTTTTGTGTTGTAGCACTCAATACAAACTACAAAAAAATACTACTTAATGATGACAGGGGTTGTGAAGTCAACAGATTTCCCCTTTACAATAAGATATAGGAACACTTAATTTTTTAAATTTCAAACATAAACGGTGGGAGGCCTCACTTTGCTTCCTACAAGAAAACAACATTCACTTCATACAGCTGTGTATGCAGGAAGCTCAGCTATGTATAGGAATGCCAACTACAAATTTTTCAGCGCGGCTGTGGTACTGGTTTTGGCATCGACAGGGAGTAAGCAAGAGGCTGTGTGGTGCTTAGCTGCTGCCTGGGGTGAAACCACAGCAGCTGTTTGGTTTAACAGAGTGCCTTGTCTGTGATCGTTCCCTGATTTAAAAACTACAGGCTTGGGTAAGAAGAAAGTGCTCTGAGATTCTTTGGTTACCTAACAGTAGCAAATGGCATCTCAACAGCAGTTATTTTTGCTATAATGTGAGGGCTATACATGAGGCCACATGCACAAAAGCATTACTGTTTTGTATTTCAGGGTAGACGACCTAATTGGGGCCCGTTGGAAATTAGACAAGGTGCTCCATGTTAACAGGGAGAAAACATGAACATGACTGGGTTTGCAAAAAAAAAAAAAAGTTGTTTGCTTTCTGGATTAGAAGTGGGATAATGGGTTGATATGGATCAACCTTCATTTTTTTCCAAAATAATAAACGTTTTTATAATAATCTATTTAGAACAGGCATTCATTATAACCAATGAGATGCAAGATCCCAGAAGCGGGTCCCAGAGCTAAAAGTGTTTTTGAAGGCCCTCTGTGCTGTTTCAGAAAACAGAAGTCTTTCTCCTTGCTGAACACCTCTTGCCTGGACACGTAAGTGATGCCTGTCATGAAGATCGACAGCACACCATAAAGGAGAATGGGCTAGCGGAGACCCCAAGTCTCTTGCTTTCTGAGAATAGTTAATTGCAGCATGTTTGTTGACAGCTACAAGCGTGACAACACTCAGGCATCTCTTTTAGAAATAGATGGTTTTTAAGATCAGGCACTATTTGTCTCTTGTATTTTTTCCTGTCTTTGAAAAGAGACTTTAAAAGGCAGAATGAGGACCAAACAGTGTGCAATGATTAACATACACATACGACCATCGTGTTCTGCTTGCAGTGAAATATCAGTAATGCCAGAGCATTAAATAATACATCAAAGAAGAAAATTGCGACATTACTTAGGTCTTTCAGTTGATCATTTGTTTAATCTGTTTTTATGCCGCAGTTGCTCACTGCAGCTTCCATTACGCTGGGAGCTCTGCCAAAGTATTGACACAAAGCAGGCAGACCTAATGTTTGGACGGGGAGTACTTTCTGTGATGGGAATAGTTGTTTCCTATGTTGTTTGGGCAATGGCTGGACAGTGGTTTCAGCACGTGGCCTGCAGACACTAGGAGGCGACAGGCCACTTGTAGGGGAACTATTTGTAAGTTGTGACAAAGAAAGTTAATTTTATGTAGGTTTAAATGAGCAGAATATGGGTTTGCATCCCTTGGAGGGATTTTTTAGGGGTTTACAAGTCAGGAAAAAAAAAGTTAAGGACTATGAAGCCAACCTAGATACAGCTGTCACGTGTTTCAAAAACTCTATAATGTTTCTCACTTTAAGTTATTGAAGTGGCTATGTGGTAAAATGTTAGATGAAATTTCTCTGCAGATAAACACAAAGTAGTCACACCCTGGCACTGGCTCCCCTCTCAGCCCAGGTTTCTCTACGGGTCCCTTCCTTCCGGTGCCCCAAGACTTCCCTTTGTGGCTTAACTGTTTTGAGCTGCTCTGTTGTCACTTCCCTGCGGGATGGGAGGGTACGTGGTGCATAGTCAGCAAGCACAGATATTATAGAGGAATTCGGTACTTGGAAAGCCAGACATTAAAACTGATGCCTGGTCTGGGATCCAGCTAGGATAGACCAAAGCTCTCTGTATAATCCATACAAAGAGTTAAATGTCTCAAAATGAGGCACAGGAGAGCTGTTGAATCCCCACTGTGCACTGTCCAAGCAGCTGAAAGAGAAAAAAAACCAAATCCAAAGCGATGCTTCATCACACAGGGCAATGGCAAGAAGCCCTCAGCCATGGCTCTGCCCTGTCCCTGCAGAAGGGCCTTAGCCACCCCACTCTCACCAAACCTCCCTTGCAAACTGTTCATGGATGCTGAGGGAGGGATCAGGGCTGCATCTGCTTCATGTTGCTCACTGCTGCTTTCAGGGCATCAACACTCCTGTGGCGTGAGGCTGGGGTGACTCGGGCAGGTGCGATCACCTCTCACCAGGCAGGATCACCCATTTAATCCCATTAAAGTACAACAACAAACCTGTCACCGGGGCTTATGGTAGTCGCTTGGGTGAGATCAGATCTTCACAGCTTTATACCTGATATGCACGATGGTAAGGGCCTGTTCTGTGGTCCACAACACTTTGCGTAGCTCAGCTTTTCCCTGCAGTAATGGCAGGGAAACGATAATTTTAGTCTCATAAATGCCAGGGCATTGCCACAAGCTAAGACAAGTGTTACATGGCAGGGACGGGGCAATAGTCTCAGGCCACTGTCTGACTCCTGCAGTTCAGGCACAGCAATAGCTGCATCCTGGCGATAGCTGCAAGCTTTGAAGTTATACAGACTGGCAGGAAACTACCACCATACCAGCAAATCCTTCGATGTGAGCAGCACAGATGTATTAGGTTTGGCATTGTAGTGCAGGGGCTTTTTCTTGTTTTTAAGTGACCATATATATTACAGTACTAGAAGTGGATTTGTGTATTGCTGTAGAGGTGCTCAGTTTCCTATGTTTAGCTGCAGGATATGTACAAACGAGCGCACAGTGGAAACAATGGCCTTATCATCTGTTCTCCATAGCATGTGGTGCTCTCCCTTGACCAGGAGATGCCTGAAACTGTGACACAATGATCCAAGACAATAGCCAGAGCTGGAGTCAAGTCACTGAGGACAGAAGCACAAAATTCAAGTTAATATCAGACCCCTTGGAGGGGGTTGCACCTTTTTGCAGGTATACCTGTACCTACAATAACTGCAAATACTGTAGGTGGTCCCATTCCCTCTGCCTCGAAACTTCAGCAGCACCGTGGCTCTTAGCACCTATAGTGCACTACACTTTTTTTATGCCATGACTTGATCTGTGGGTAGCTGTGACTCGGCTTTGCTTCATCTTGGACCTCACTGATATACAAGTGGGGAACAGAGAAGAAAATTCCTGAAATTCCTTGGCTGCAAAGTAATAGCAAAATGCATCCAAACAGCAGTTAGAATTTGCTAAGCACGCGCAGATCTGAATAGAGGCTCTAACTTCCAAGACCAGAGAACAAGCTCCAGCAACATCCACTGCAAACCGCAAGAGCAGTGTGATGTAGAAAGGTGAAAAACATATGATGAACACACACAAATTCACGGAAACCATGTGGATTGCTTTCTGGATTAACTTTGTCTCATGAGGATTCGTGGCCATCTTCTTTTTGAGACATTTGATGACTTGTACTGAGCAAAAAATCACAATCCCTAAGGGAATAAAATACCCAAAGATAATAGAGAATAATGACAAATAATTAGGTTGAATAGATTGTTTCTGAAGGCAGACTTTTTCCTTTCTTCCATAAAATTCTGGAAGAAAGTATGAATAAATCATGAGTGTTACCCAAAGAAACCCACAGATAGAAGCCGATTTCAGTGGGGATCGAAGAATCTTTGCTTTTAGAGGGAACTTGATTGCAATGTATCGATCAATCGCAATCAGGGTGATGATAAGGATGCTCATAGGCATGTTTGTAAAATAGATGTTCCGTATGGCGAAACACAGATTGTCTATGGGATGTTCGTACTTGGTAAAATATATCAGGAAAGGCAGGGCAAAGAGCAGGAAACTGTCCGCGACCATGAGGTTGATCATGTACACCCTGGTCTCAGTCCAACTCTTGAGTTTGCAGCAGAAGACCCAGAAGGCAATCATGTTCAGTGGGATCCCCAACAAGAACACCGGGATGTAAACGATAAACTGAAATAGCACAATGCCTTTCTGCAGCGCGTTGTCATCTTCAGTGCAGTTCTCCATGTTGGGCCGTCCCTGCAAGAAAAGGGTGCAGGCGTGAGACGGAGCTCCGGGACAGGCCCTCTGGGCTGGGTCCTGCTGCAGGCCCCGTTCTCGTGGCTCGGCGGCTCCCCACGGCGTACGTAGGCAGCCCCTCGAGGGGCTCGGTGGCTCACCCGCACCGTCTGCCCCTCAGCCGTCAGCATAACGCTGTCGCTCACCACCAGCTAACACAAAAACACGCAGGCAACCCTCTCTTGCAGCTACTACTGGGTTAAGCTTGCCTTGCCCTCCATCCAGTCCTGGTTTGCACGGTTTGGGTGATAGCGAAGGGTCTGCGAAGCAGAATGACAGTTTTTGTGGTCCCTTCTCTTTGCTGCTGCTTTGGTTATTGGAGAGCCAGAAGCGGAGCCGAGCGGCGCTCCCCCTCTGCCCGCCAAGGCCCTCGCTTTGCTGCTGAAGCCACCCCGTGGGTTTGCTCTGGGCCTCGCCAGGCCCGCGAACCCCCGCAGGACTTGAGCCCTTCCAGCCCTAAGGTAGCTCAGGTGGCTTTGCTCCCGGG